CGTTTCTTTTCCCTGTAGGCCTTGCACATGCTCTGTATGTTTCTGTTATATAACAGGAGAATCCATAACGATTTCCCATCAGTACCCTCGTGAAAATGGGGGGAGGGCAAAAACTGCAATGGAAATGATATGCTAATGAGCTAAAGGTCACCGAGGACAACCAAGTTTAGTACTGAGCATGCTCCAAGTTGTGTAATATCCCTTCAAGTAATGTAAGGCTTTCTTGGGGTGCGTCCCCATCCTGAGTAGCAGCTCCAAATTTCAAAGATAATAAGAATTTATTATTTTGAACTGCTTCCCTAATTAGGCCTAAGACAATAGACCCATTCAGCAGAAATAAGAAGAATAAGTCAATTGTATGGACTAACTATCCACACAGGGCCCTGGTGAAGCAGTTGACTATCATCTAGATTAAAAATCCTCTCTGCACATGTACTTTCTTTTAATGATGGAAGACGTGGTGCACAAAGGAATAGGGTTACAGAGTACTAATTCGTTTTTGCTCTGCTGGGTCAAATGGCACTCACGGGGTTAGGTATTTGTAATCAGAACACAGGATGTTCCCAAGGAAGAAACTTAGAGTTTGGTTACTTTTGACAAATTACAGGTAAACAGGGATTACCTCTTAAAGTTGACCCAGAGGGAAATGTAACTTTTTAATTAATCCCCTGTGCTTCTCTGGCCCATGCCAATATCATAGATAAGACAGAGGATGTCTCCAGTGATTCATTAGAACTCTTACTCTCACTGATTATTTACTTGTCTCTAAATGCTTCTCAGTAGTAAGAACAGCATTTAACAAAGGGAGCTGAGTTCCCCAGTAGACCTTATTAAAATTGTTGTGGTTTTGAGGTGATTAACTCGGGTAAATGAATTAATGTGGCCAGTGAACCAAGCTATGCGACGTATCAGGAGGCAGAGAATCACAAAGGCTAGTCACATACAGGAGAAAGCCATTCAGTATTCAAAGGCGAATTCTGAAGAAAGCTGAAAAAACAACCCTGAGAATTATTGCTTTGATTAAAAAAAAAAAACACTAAATACGCATTGACAAAGATCAGATCTTTGTAGAATTGTACCTGTTGCTTTGCGATAGATTCCTGGAGCAAAAGTAAAAATGCTTGGGATTAGGGAAGGCTGGGCGGCCCAAGGGGTTGTGCTAAGCTACCGTTGTATGCCTGGTGGAACCACATCCTACTTGCTGTCAGCAAACATCACTGCCTTCCTTATAGGAGCCTCTCAGGATCTCGGAGGCAGATTAATCTTACTCTACTGTGTAGAATAAGAGAGTGTTAGCCCAAGACATCAAATCTAGGTGAATGGTGGAAACAAATACAGAAACAGAAAAGCAGAAAGAGAGGAAGGTTTTTTTTTTTTTTTTTTGTGAAAAGGATAAGTTAGATTTTGGTCTATTTATCAGTAATAATAAGGCATCTTGAATAAAGAAAATAAAATTTGTCTCTTAGACGGTCATTAGTGGTCCTGACTCATTAGGAATTTCAGAGTTAAGGTCATTATGGTATTTTTATGGGAATGACAATGAGTTATAACATATTTGCAATTTACTGATTTTTTTAAGACCAAGTTGTTTTATTACAATTTTCTGAGAAATTGTAATGAAGATAGAAATCTATGGATCTGTAATATAAATATTAGGTTGTTTCATAGAAAAAAATGTATCATGGCTTTTCCCACAATCCAATATTTTTCCTAGGGTTGGGTAGTGCATAACTGCATGACTATATGCAAAGGCATGTCAGCTTAGATATTTATTTATTTTTAAAATTTATTTAGCTTTATTTGTTATTACTATTTATTTTTGTTTTAATTTGACCAGAGAGAGTCAGAGAGAGAGAGAAAGGGAAGGTGAGAAAGCAAGCCATCAGGTCTGAGACTTAAACCATGGTTGGCTGTGGGGAGTCCAGCAACATAACCACTATGTCACCTGCTGGCCCTGGATATTTATTTTTAAATAAATGGGTTTTCCTACTTCCCCAGTCTTTGAAATGACTACCAGAGATAATAGGTAGTGCTGATTGAGAAAGAGCACTGGAAATGAAACCTTCAGGGATTCTTATGAAAGGGAGAGAAGTCAAGGAAGAAGGATGAACAGATGTAGTCCGAGAAGTATTAGGAGAATTATGATTGAGTGATATCATCAAAGTTCTCAGCATTGTTTACTCAATAGAAAAATGGAAAGCATTCCCTGTTTTTTTTAATTAAAAATTATTTAATTTTATTTATTCATTCAATCATTTTTATTTGACCAGAGAAAGACAGACCCGGAGAGAAGATAAGTGAGAAAACAAGCCACCAGGTCTGGGACTTGAACTGTAGTTAGCCATGTGGGAGTGTCTAGCTCCTTAACCACCATGCCACCTGCTGGCCCTGGGCTTAGTTCTTTAAACATGGTACAATTCACCAGTGAAGCCATATGGGCCTGGGCTTTTCTTTATGGAATATTTTTTGTTTACTTACTTGGTCTCTTTCTTTGTTGTAGGTCTATCTCTTTTCAGTCAGTTCTGGTAGTTTGTGTCTTTCTAGGAATTTATCCATTTAATCTAGTTGGCATATCATTGTTCATAGTATCTTCTTATCATTTTAATAAAATTTCTATGAGGTTGGTAATAATGTCCCCATTTCTTTCTTTCTTTCTTTCTTTTCTTTTCTTTTTTTTTTTTTTTTTTTTAAGATTTTTCCTATAGGGCACATGCATTCTCCTGACTCACAGAGAAAGAGAGAAAGTGAGAAGTCACCCTCCCCAGAGGAGATGGCCATGTCGCAATCCCTTCTCTTCCATTGTCCTCCTGGGATTTTGGGCATACATGCCTTGAGTAAGTTTTTATCTTAACATGAGAAACAGAAGTGTGTCACTCCATGGAGGTTGTATGTTTCATAGCCAGTCATCGGAATGAAGAACATCTTATAGTAACCAGAAGGTTTTCCAAGAAGGCAGATATTCCCTCTGAATAGCCTCCTTAGGAAACTAAGTATCTGAACAATAATAAAGGATGTGAAATCTCTTGAAGATGTGAGAAGATGAAGATTTGACCTAGAGTATGCATTGGAAAACAATTTTTCATCAGGTCCCATCGAGTCCACTAGGTGGTGTAGGTCACATAAAAACTCTACTGTATTAAGTATTGAATTGCCACAAACCGTGTTTCTTCTTTTTCACATAAAATCCCAAGAAAATATATACACAATAATAAAAGACAGAGAGAGTACTTCGTCGTAAGGTTTCTGTTAACAGCAAAGAGGATAGTCGCACACACTGTAAACTGAAAATAGGTACCTTCCACAGAGACCCTCTCCAAATGCAGCTTTTGAATCTTCCTTGCTTGACCTGGTGGCTTGTTTTCTCACTTTCCCTCTCTCCCTCTTTCTCTCACACTGTCCCTCTCTGGTCAAATTAGAATAAATAAATGAATGAATAAAGTTAAATAAAATAATTCTTAAAAAATATAAAAATAAAAGAAAGTATTGTTATTTTTGTTCCATATTTATTCCAAAGATCACCTTGGATTCCAGGAATCAAATTTTGATCAGTATTTAAAAATTTTTTTTAAAATTTAAAAATTTATAAAAAATTTATTTACATTTAATTGTTGTACACCTTTGTGAGGTACAATATAGGTTTGAAAAGCATGGATACAGTGTGTGATAATCAAATCAGGCTATTACTATGTTCATCATTTCAGCAAATAGTGTCTTTACATAGTAATTTTTGTGCCTTAAATAATATCTATCTATTGCAGATTTCATGTGCGTTATTATCATTAACTTTTTTTAGTTTTGCTATGGGGCATGTGTGCACACCAGGG